CTTGATTCCAGGGAAGCTGAGCTATGACCCATTATATCCCTTGATTTTTATGAATTTTGTTAGCATTATGACTCTTTTACTTAATACACAGCTAGTAGAACAGCTGGCACATATGAATGAAGAGAATTCAGCTATAATAGATTTAATTCTCTGTGATGCTTTATAGCATTAATCTTTTTTCTATTGGATTGAATGGCAATGAATTCTGCTGTCATGCTTAAGGGTTAGAATAAAAAATTAAAACAACGTTCCTTTATTGTTTAAATTTCTTTCCATGCATCTGGTGGATTTTTCAATGTACTGAACTATAGTGTCTTGGGCATGTAAGTCATTCTTTAAACGTGCTATAGCTCCCCCTGTTTTGTTGGTGAGCATTATGTTCACCCCTTGAAATCAACAATTGTCCATTCTTGTCCCCAGCTGTTCGAGTTTTTTATAGTAATCTAACTTTCAGTTAAAAATTTATTTTCCCTTGATAAAAGGTACATCCTCATTCATTCTCTGCCTTAATCAGTTTTGCCTGTTCACTCCCTTGTTTTTTGTTTACATAGTTATCTTTTCATTTCAAGCCAAAAGATCTGTCAGGGCTTCTGTAATAAGTATATCCGGTGGAAGATGGAGAGTCATCCCCTGAATTCATGCAGTGACTTCTCATAAAAGATATTTTGGGTTCAAGCTCTTCAGTTTTACAACAAATATACTTCTTTGGCATGACTCTGTATTGTGTGGGGAATTCTGGTTCTCTGTGACTCACTTTGAGTTAAAATAGCAAGGGACTGTTGTGTGAAAAGGGACTTTGCTATGTGAAACCAGTAGTTTAATGCCTGATCTTCAACCCACAGACCAGCACTATCAGTATTCATGGCAGAAGAGAAAAGAATCACTAACAGGTTTATAATCGCTATTACTTCATACTGCTAGGAGTTACTCCTTTGGAACTTACATTTAGGTTTTCATCGAGCAGCAGATTGAAAACAGTTCGGTAACAGCAGTAACACTAGCATTCATTGTAGCAAGATGCCTTACCCAATTAGGAAAGCTTTCACTCTTTCCTCCTTAAAGCAGCCTTCTTATTTTAGAATGCTGTAGAACCACTGCATTCTTAATTATATTATACCAATTTAACTTTGCTTAAAGCTTTACTAAAACTGTGGAAGCTGACTTATACTAATGTAGCCATGTAAACACAGCAGAATTAGCAGTCAAGTGTGAGTAGCTAGTCACAGAATTGAAAATATCCCCGCTGTTTTTTTGTTTGTTGTTTTTTTTTGTTGTTGTTGTTGTTGCTTTGTTTGGTTTTTGGTTTTTTTTGTCTGTTTTTTTTTTTTTGTATCTGAGGAATTTGTACACTGAATTTGGTACAGCTCTGTCTATATGACAATGGCCAGGAAGTGTTGTCATTTCTAATTCTCTAGGCAATTAGACCCATTTTATCCTCAGGTCTGATATTTCTAAATTGGGAGTAATTAGCTTGCTGGCTGAGAGACCTGAGAAAACAAGGGAAGAAATTGTTTCTTACATCAGATCAAATGCCAATGTTCTCCACATTTTCTGTTGTCAGGTGCTTGCACATCTCTCTCCCTTGGCTAGTTACACTGTGTGAACACATTACAGGATGGTCGGATTTGCCAAGTATGATTAAAAGGTCATATCTGAACTATAGCAAAAATCCAGTAGGCCTTCGATAATAGACATGAGGAATTTTTTATACATCAATTAAAATATATATTTTTATCTCATTGTCACAGATGGAATGGACAAGAGAGAACACATTAAATCCAGGCAGCTGCAGAATGGCCATCAGGTGGCTCTGCATCTCAGCAGTATGATCAACAGAGGTTTAATTCAGACATATTTTCATACCCCAGCCTCTTAGTTCAGATTATCTGTATCAGAAGGATTCAATATTTCTGCTGGACTAGCTATTATCTTTTATATTCATGAAATTGCACTTAGAACATTATTTCTATACCTTGCCCATAATAAGTAACTGGCAATTTTTTTAATGTTCTATTGATAGAGCTTAATATATAAAAGAGATTGCACAGACGTGGTGGTTTTATCTACAGTGTTACTGGCCCAGAAGAAACTCTGAGTGTTAAACCTGCTTAAACCATTCCTGGCAATCACAAACCCCTCATTGTGCATAAAATCTTATGGCAAAAATTCTGCCATCTGCTGGCCAAGGAAAAAAGTACTTGTTGAGCAGCGCGGTGCATTGGATGCAGTGTTACAGCGCTGTTCCCCCAGTAGGAAAAACTGGTCTTCATGCAGAGCTCTTCAGCAGCAGATCTCAAATAGGCCTGGTCAGTAGCTTTCTGATAGTATATTTTTCATCAGAAAGCGCTGGTTTGTTATAATTAAAACTTCCTGTGGGAACACATCAATGAGAAATTGAAATGTTCCATTCTAAAGATACCAGACTATTCTCTTCCAGTTTTTTTAGTCTGTAGCACTTTCTGATTTTTATTCCAAAATGATTTTAAAAAGATATTCTTTCTTTTACATTATAAAACCAAGAAGTTAAAATTGAAATTGTCATCTTTGTATTAAACATTAATGAATCCTCACATCATTAACTATACCACATTGTAAATTCAAGGCAGTCAAGAATTTAGGACTCTTGGCTTTTATTACCCTGCTCTGACCACTCAGTTTATGTCTCACTACTTGTGGTCATGTATGTATGCTGAGTGGGGAGAATATATCAAGAGTGTGACTATCTTGTCATTCAGATGAGGGAGATCAAAGATGGGAATAAAACCTTGTTTTTCTCATCTTTGCATCTTCTTTTATTGTAATTTTGTGTTAATTACTTAAATTACTACAGTAATTTAAAGAAAAACTGTTTTGAGCTTATACTCAAAATAATACACAGTTACAGCTAAAATCATAGCAGTCAATATTCAGAAAAAAAAAAGAAAAGAAGCAAACTAGAGATAACTCTCAAGGCTTTCCTTTGCCTAGCTTTGTAAGTTTAGTACTTGTCACACTTGTCTTTTCTAAAAGGAAAAGATCGACTGCATTTTATCCTGCAAGGAAAGGAAAGGAATGAAAGAAAAAAATGCAGGATTTGATTAGTCATAGATATAGGAGTTATTTGTTTTCAGAAAGAAAGCATGTACAGCAGTTCTGATTATATATCGCCAGTCATGACGGATAATTATCTATCTATCTATCTATCTATCTATCTATCTATCTATCTATCTATTATATCATATGCCTATATGGCAGCAAATTACACTACATTAGATGCACATAACTAGGCTGAATTTATACTCACAGGGACAGTTCCTGATTTTGGATTTCATTGCTTTTAAATATATCATTTTAATGCAGTTTTTAATGCAGTCATTAAAAAATGAAGAAAAAGAAACTGCACATGCAAAACTGTACTGATCCCAGTTCCTCAGTTCCTGTTTTTTTGTTGTTTTTTTTTTCTCCTTGCCCGTGGAGCAAAACTTTCATCCACTTCTCTATCCCATTCGCTCTGTTTCCATTTTTTCCACTAAGCTGCTGGTTTCTTTTGTTCTTTTCACACCATCCATATTGCTCTGTCTTTTCCACTTTTGTGTCTTCTGTCCTTTCTCGTAACTATTTTCCCTTTCAAGATCCCACTGGATCCAAAACCTCCTGATCCTGTTGATCCCTCTCTCTTGCATCCTCTAAGTGGTCTTCATCTGTCTAATTCTTCCTAACCAGTGAAGTGGTGGCAATAGACACATAGTACACAAAAGAAGGACACATTCCCAGCTGTTGGGTATATAGTGTTGATGCCACAGCAATCCCAGCAGTTAGGATGAACAATTTCAGAGAATATATTTTCTGTCTCTGTGGATTTTTTGGACAACACTTACACTGTGCTTTCAAAGAATGTGGTCTTTTGCAACAAAATCAGTGAAGTGTTACCATTTGTGGTGCCTTATGGTTTCAGTAACCTTTTACAGGATGAAATAGTAGTTCAAACTGGTGAAGTGATCTAGCGTTAAAGTATTATTTATTGCTGAGGTTGTTTTGTTTGTTTTTTGGTAGTTTTGGTTTTGTTTTTTTTTTTAGTTTTTTTTTTTTTCTTGGGGGCTGGAGAGGGAGTGTCAGCTGTATAAATCGTTGGCTCCATAAAGAGAAAACATATTTTAAGTTGCCAGAAATACTTGGTGCGTTTTAGGTAATATATCGCACCAAAAACTCAACCTTTGGAAGATATCTAGAGTAGAAAATACAATCTATTCTCTAAATTACGCATAACCTATAGAAGAAGGCAGACAAATTGTAGGCAACTAAAGTGTTTGCGTTTTTTTCATCTGTCATATTTATGCACCTCTGTCACATGAAAGATCTGTCAATCACAGTGCCTCTGCGGTGTACTTAGCATAATGTTCCTAGGGAATAAAAGAGCTGCACTATTCAGGATTCTCCCAGTTGTTCCTGGTTATATCATTCAACAGAACAACTGCTAGTGATAGAATAGTGGTAATACTAACCTATTTAAAGAAACTGACAGGTAAAACAAGTTCACTTGTTTTATTTTGTTCTTTAAAAGCTTCTTCCAGAAAATTAGAGAAATACTATTTCAGATATCTAAGAAAGGCATCCTTGGGTTGCTTTTGTCTTATCCATATTTGATCAAGAGTCTTCATGTAATCTGCAAAATACTTTGTGACACTTTCAAACATGATACAGTGAGATTTGATGCAGCGATTCACTTTGTACTTACAGCAATTTGAGGCAGATACAATTTTAATTTCTGCAGCCAAAGGTTATTGACTCGCCTGGTGCCCTTACTAAACAGATTCTGAAGCATCGGTGTCATTGCCTGATTTACATCTTCCCAAATATATGAAAATACAGAGTATTGCCTTATGGTCCTAGGTCCCCAGAACTGGTGGTGATCTTCTTGGGTATCTTAGTAAACAGAATAGGAGCTTTTGCCTCTTCACATTTTAAACATTTTGAAAGGCCATATTTTTTTTCTTTTTCTATATATAATTTCTGGAAAGGCTACTACAGTGTTTGAATTATAGTAAAGCATCTGAGAGATCAAGGTCTTTCATTTCATTTTGGGAAGGTGTTGAGATTTCTGTCGCTGGATTGCTGTTTTCTACTGCAGAAGGCAAGAGATCCTCATTTGTGAATTCTCTGGGAAAGCTAGAAGGTGCTGGAATGTCCATAATTTCTTTCCATGGTTTTCCAGGGCATCTGGGGAGAGGAGATTCTGGGCGATCTGACAACCCATTAAATAGAGAAGTATCAGGAAGAATTAGTGGTTCTGCAGGTGTACTGGTTTCCTTTCTTGCAACCCCTGGGTTACCTATCTCTGATGCTGTTTCAGCACTGGGTGATGGGAGGGTTTTGTTTAGGTTAAAACCACTTTCATTGGACTCCTCAGAAGATTTGGGGTTTGGATGTTTATGTTTCCCATTTTTACTGTGTTTTTTATGCCCACACCCATGACCAGTTCCGTGCCTGCAACCATTTTGATGTTTATACCTTCTGTCAGGCTCATGATCCTTTTTATGCCCATGATGATGCCCATGATGATGCCCATGTTTATGCCCCTGCTCATGCCCGTGTTCATGCCCGTATTTATGCTCAGGTTCATGCCCATGTTTATGCCCATGTTCATGCCCGTGTTTATGCTCAGGTTCACCTTCACCTTCTGGTTCCTGTGCACCATCTTCTCTTGTTTCTATATCAGGTCTTTGCTCATCTTCTCTCATTTCTTTATCAGGTCTTTGCTTTTCTTCTTCATTTTTATCAGAGCACGGCATTTCATTTGGCTGATTTAGCATAACAAGTCTTCGAAAAGGTGTGAATCCAGGAGGCCTTCTTAGTAATACAGCCTAAAAAACATTGCAATAATAACCATATTTCTTACATAAACAAGAATGATCATTTCAGATTCGAGAGATTCAGAAGTTGGGTCATTGCAGTATATGAATCATTTAGCAGAAATATGTTACCATATTTTAAAGTAAGCTAAATAATTATCTTTTCTGTCTGTGATAAGTGTGGAAACATAAACATCCTCCTGAATACCTCCAGAGTATTTTAGCAGTTATGTGTTAAAAGAAAAACTTAAGTATCACTGAAATATTGCCAATTTAACATGAGAATGGTACTATAGAGAGGAGAATGTGTACTTGTTTTAATTTATGAACAATATAGATGATTTCTAAGACTAAATGTCCCTGCACTTGTTAGAATTTAACACTCTGATGTATAAAACCAGTTTGTGCTAAAGACAAACACATATCTGAGTACTCAATACCAGAATGCACAAAAGATCTGGGTTGTTTTCTTATATGAAATGTAACTATTCAATTTTTTCATTTGTCATTTTTTCATATGTCAATTTTTTGCATATGTCAAATGTTTCTACATTTGACATATGCATCTCATAAGAATGCTTAGAAATAATACATATAGGTTGAAGTTGATAGTATGAAATGTTATGAAATAGTCATTTGTTATTGAGTAATCTCTATTTCCCACCTCTTAAACTAGAAGGCAGAGACTGAATGCATGATGTGCAGTCACTGTCCTATATGGGTTTCATATCTCTCCACCATTTGCAGTCTCTAGTTGCAAATCAGAGTTGTTTGGGATGGAGCTAAACTTGAAAGTTGATATGGATATTGTAGTGAAAACAAAGCAGAGAGTCATTTACTGTTGCTACATAATGAAACAATAGGTAGTTACGAAGATGCTGAGCACAGTGAAGCTACTGATTATGAATACAAGTTAATCAATCTGACTTTATTCAGAGTATCTTCTTCATTGTGGAGTATGGGAGTCCCTGCATTTATCAAAAAAACCTGCAATCATCAGAACTACAAAAGTTCTGATAATAAAAGAGATTTATATTTCATTCTGAAATTTTCAAAGTGACCCATGTTCAGGGCTGGTTAATTGTGGAGCTGGGCACAAAGGAAACTGAAAGATCTTCTTGCAGAAATTGGCAGCCCATGGCGGGAGATGCACTACTCATATGAAAAGATTTGCAGATGCTTTTGAAATCTGTGGGGAATAATCACTGCATTGTCAAATACATTTTTGTCTCAATTTCTAAGCCTTGAATCATAATTCAAAGGAGCTGCTGGGGCTTGATATTTCAGAGCTTAACTGGATAATGCAAAGGAGTAGTTGACAAGCAGAGTGTTCTCTCTGTCCTGTTGCCTTTATGTTTCTGTAGTCACTGGGTTATCCCCTGTCTCACCTTGTCATGAGACTGACTCCAGTGTAACAAGTTGCTGAGGTTAGAGATTGAGAGGGAGGAGTGTGGCGTTACTGAAGTTGTTAACAATGTGTTCCTTTATATTTGGTACAAAGTATGGGTTAATTTGGAATGGATAAAGAATTTAATGACTGCCTTGGTTCTATGCTCTACTTATGATGATGGGTAATGAAAAGGAGTCATACCTTTGACCGTTCTTTCGAGCAGTTAACCTGGGGAAAGATTTTATTCTCCCATGGGATCACATGAATTTGTGCTTCACATGACAATGGCACCTGTTGACAAAACAAAACCCAACACATTAAGGCATCAAACACAAAGGAAGAGTTGTGCCAAAAAAAAAAAAACAAACCAACAAATACAAACATTATTTTTTAATAATACTTTTAAATACAAATATAACTTCACCCAAATATCTATGAAATGCATCCTGGTAATGGAGACTTCTTTACTGGGACACATCTGCTTAGCTTTTTGAGGTTACAAAATACCTGTGTGAACACTTAATTTTAACTTAAATTGAAGATTGGATCTTGAAAAATTGGATATTTCATCCCCAGCACTTTTGGAGCACTAACTGTTTAATCTGCATGATATTCCTAAGAAATATAGTTTGTTGGTGATATTTCTCATTCTAAAATATTGGGAAATTGAAGTAGAACAGCATTTTTTCCTATTCAGAGCCTGCTGCAGTAATGGATTTTAAATTCTCACAGGTAAATACTGTTCATTTAATGGGAAAAGAGAGGGAAAATGAAGCCTCTTTTTCCCAGCCAAATCCCTTGCCAATGGTTTCTGGCCCTATCAACATTACTCTCCAGTGTCTGGAACACATTTTTCTGGCATCAGCAGCATGCATTCCAGAAACATCATTCCTTTGCACACCAGTAACACTCCATTTTCATGTTTTCGTTAGCTGCAAGTCATAGAATCATAGAATGGTTTGGGTTGAAGGGGACCTTAATGCTCATCTAATTTCAATCCCCCTGCCATGGGCAGGGACACCTTTCACTAGAGCAAGTTGCACAAAGCCACATCCAACCTGGCCTTGAACACTGCCAGGAATGGGGCAGCCACAGCTTCTCTAGGCAGCCTGTGCTAGAGTCCCACCACCCTCATAGTGAAGATTTTTTTACTGATATCTAATCCAAATCTCCCCTCTTTCAGTTTAAACCCTTGGGTTTAAACTACATGCCCTTGTAAAAAGTCCCTTTCCACCTAATTTGTAGGTCCCCTTTAGGTGCTAGAAGACTGTTACAAGGTCTCCCCAACTTTTTCAGCCTGTCTCCATAGGAGAGCTGCTCCAGCCCCCAGATCATCTTTGTGGCCTTCTGTAGATTTGCACCAGCAGGTCCACATCCTTTTTATGTTGGGTCTTCCAGAGCTGGACACAGTACTTTAGGTGGAGTCTCATGAGAGTACAGTAGAGGGGAAGAATCACCTTCCTCAACCTGCTGGCCACGCTCCTTTTAACACAGCCCAGCAGATGGCTGGCTTTCTGGGCTGCTAGTGCACACTGCTGGCTCATGTTGAAGCTTCGCATCAACTGATATCCCCAAGTCTTCTCCTCAGCGCTGCTCTCAAGTCCACGGAATCAGGAGTATTGTAACTCTTTCCTTTCACAGCAGCCTTTTTCCTCCCTTTCCTTGGCTCATTATTATCAGAAGAAAGTTCCTTTTGCTTTGCCATGAGCATTAATCCTGCAGTTGGAGTGACTCAGTGTCGCTCAGTTTCAGCTTCTTTTTTTATTGACATTGACACTGCCTGGGGTTACAAACAGTGAAACATGTCCTGCTTGCTGAAACAAAAGTTTACTGAAAGAGGTAAGAGAACTCAGGATGTGATTTTACTTAAGTACTTAAGTACTTTACTTAAGTGTTTACAAGTTCTAATGCAAATGAATTTGTCCATGAGGACTATTACAGTTGGCAACAGTCATCATTACTTACACTGTCTGATGTGGCTTCGCAGTCTTCATTAATTTTTTCAAAGTCTGTCTTTGAACAGTTTGTCTTCCGGACTGAAAATGTTACATGGTATTTTTGTCCTGCAACCTCCTGGAAAATTAGCAAGAAGACTTCCTGTGGTAAAGGCATTTTATTGAAAAGGGTTCACAGGAAATTTTTCTATGAGCTTATACTCCTTACATTCTACAAGTCCTGACCACTGCGACAACATATGTTAAGAACAATATAAAAATATTTGGAGGCAAACCTATCTGCTTCTAATCAACTTACTTTATTCCAATTCCCATTCTCAAAAATTCCAGTATTGAAATTGAAGGAAACAGGTCACAATAATATCAGCCCCACAGGTTTGGTTTTGTTGTAGTTGATGCCTATAGCAATTTCATCAATAACAAATGAAGTCATTAGAGATACTTCTGTAGAGACCCAGATATGATGGAAGAAAAGTTGAATGTGCATAAAATGAAGTATGTGATGAACAGGCTCAGTTGAAAACGAACGTATTTGCCAAATGCGTTAAGGAGAGAAACTGCATAGGTTCAAGAATGTGCCTGGTACAAGTTCTCCTAGTATTTTTTACAGAGCCCAAGATAACATATCTTGTGTCAGAGATAGCAGGCAAGACATGAAATTCTGTCTCTTTTAAGTATGTTTTTAAAGTATATGCACGCCAGTATCAACCATGATATGAAAAGTGAGAAAGAAGAATAAGATCTGAACGAAGAAAAAAGGTTTAAAAAAAGAAAAAGAACTGATATTATTAGTAAGATAAAGTGAGCTTTTGAGAAAAGCTCTGCTGTGCTTTTCCTGCCTCCTCCACTGGTACCATCATACTCAGAAGTTTTTACCAAAGTATTTTCTGAATCACTCCACTGTCTTATTTCCAATTCTGTCCTAAACCTCTGTTTTGATAGATTGGGACTGTAAAGAAGGCAAGTACTGACCAGTATTATCCTCCTAATTCCTTGTTTTTCTTTACCCAGCTGTATTTATCTGTACATCTTAAGTTACACACAGGTATACTTAATCTAGCTGGAGTATTATTATTAGCAAAATCAGTATATAAATTAGCATATTTCTCAGAGAAATTGTGAAGCCCCACTTCTTGGAGCTTAGAATAGGGTTGACAGCATCTAAAATAACATAAGAGAGTATTGGTGTGGTGAAACCACATAAGTGGTTTCATCTAATCATTCTTCTTTTACTTTAGAAGTCTATGGTATGTTTAAAAAGGCTGGTTAAAAGTGGGGTAGATATACAGAAATCAGGTAGTCTGAATCAACCTTCTCTCCATGCTTTTAAAATTGTGTTGTTTAAAAAAAATATAAAAAAAATCAAGAGATGGGACGTTTTTAACTCAGTTCTGAATTCAAGCCAAGGTGGATAAAACTTAGCAAGGAAAACTGCATGGATATTTCAGTTACCACATTTTATCACACATAGAGGAAAATATTATTTGAAATAGAAATACAAACTTTAGCTAAAATTCAGCTCAGACCAATAACACTGCCACGTCTGTTCCTCATCCCTCTGGTATATCCCAACCTGAACTGTCGCTGCTTCTATTTCTCCACTTTTGTAGTAGAAATCATCATTGCTTTCTGAATTATACTTCTCCATGGAAACCTTCAGTAGTTCCTTCAGTTCTGGGTTGTCTTTTGCGACAGTCTTTGGACAACCAGTTTGAGTGGCAGGAATTACTGTCTCTTCAACTGAAAAAAAGCAACAGATTTCAGATATAAGGAACAAAAAAATCAGTCTAGATAATGGCTGGAAAAAAGTTATAAACCTCTACCTTCTGGAACATTTCATGTTTGGCTCTATCAAATGAAACCAAAATATATTTGAGTTTTGTATGATCAGCATGATCAGGTGTTGGTTGTCTAAAAGAGTACTACATCAGCACCTGGTGTCACATTGGATGCTTAACAATTTACTCACAGAAACTAGAATGGTGTGTACCAATTGTGGGTAGCTAGCAAATAAAGAGAGGGAACATCTACGCATATGGAAAGAACTGACTCAGCTGAAATGAGAGATGTACGTTATTGCAATGAATGAGTGTGTGGAAGAATGCCATTATCTCTTGAAAACAAGTTTGAATGGGTGAGAATGCATCACTTACTACACGGAGTAGTACTGTGTACCCTGCTGTAAAGCTCTGAAGCTGTGATAACCTGTGTCAAAATAGATGGTTGGAGGAAAAAGTAGCAATAAGAAGACCATTTGGGAGTTTGACTGCAATGAACTTACAAATTCTAAGAAATTTATTTACTGGGGAAAAAAGAAAGCCTCTAACATAACAAACGTAAATATAGCTATGCAATAGAAAATGAGCAATGGTAGCATCATTAGATGAATTACCAGTTTTGGACAAAATCTTAAAAGTCTGCAGCTCCTTTCGCTTTCAAAAGAATACATTGGCGTTCTTTGGAATGTTAGAAGAAGCTACTATTTAAACAATATGATATTAACTTCCTTGTCATTGTAGTGGAAAAAGAATTCATTCTTGTAGGATAGTTACTGAGTTTGTTAATCTCCAAGTGACAGTCAGCAACCACTTCCATGTAACAGAAATAGGGCAGTATATAAATGATAAAATGTAACTTTTAGCTATATAAGAAATACTTGTAGGAAGTGAAAAGTCTGTGGTCATTTTTCATTAAGAGGCAGTGCTTTTCTGGTCCCAGAAGAATTACTTTTTTGTTATTATCTGTTTTCATCTCTTGTATTTTTATTTTGTCTTTCTTTTTACAATTGTAAAAAAACATTGAAAAGTGCAGAACGTGGCAAATTGATAGTACCTGTGACATACCTGGAAGCTTGCACTGGCTTACAATATCCACAATCACTTTCTGAAGACTTTGATATGCTTTGGCATCACATTTACCTACATGCTAGAATAAAAAACACAAAACAGCTTGTTACTTAGAAATAATGAACAAGCTCATGTTCTAAGTCAGCATACTGCTAAGTCAAGTATACTACTAATAATTCCTTCCTTCCTTCAATATAGTGGGAGGAAGAAGCCTGACAGGCAGTCTGCAGAGCCAACAAATGATTTGGGCTTAAAAGGACCACTCAGGGAAAATAAAACCATAAAAGAGAAGCTAAATGGACTATTCGTATGTGTTAATTACAGAAAGAAACAGGGAGGTTTACAAGCCAGAATCCTGTTTAATGGAGAACTCATTGGCTTTTTTGTCTCAAACTGTGAAGACCAAAAGGATTATGAAATTAACAAATCAAACATTATTAAGTTTCTTGTATTTACTCAGGTGTTTTAAAGAAACCATGGTAGACGGCTTGCTTAAAGTTGTCTTGGTATTTTAGAGCTGGAAGAAAGCAGATATCGATCCAGTTCTGTTTTAAAAAGGTTATAAACCCATAGAACTGATGTCTGTACCATTCCAGTGATTAGAAATAGTTATAAGAAAAGAATTAGGGGGCATGAATACATCAAGGAGAGACCCAGGTTTCTGTAGTAAACAGAAGTCATATTTTGCAGATTTATCAAAGTTCTTCAAAAGTATCAAGAAAAGTGGGTCAAGAGACCTGTTGATAAAGTATATGTAGATTTTAAGAAAGGTTTCAGTGAAGTCTCTTATCAAAGACTCTAAAAGAAACTAATCAATTGTAGAATAAAATCTTAGGGCTCTGACAGATACTGTTTTCAAAGCATCCGTAAAAAAATCTGCTTAGCTGTTGGTTTAGAAGAAATAATAAAAAATAATATCAAGTCTTATTGTCCAGGTTAAAGAGAATGATATTATGCTCCACTGAAGTAGTTCTGTGGTTCACATGTATGTCAGATACAGGGTGCTCCCTGTATCCTCCCATTTCAAAATGAGTAGTACAGAGCTAAATAAAGGTATGAAACAACTTCCATGGAATTTGGTCATTCCAATGTATGGAATAGTCTTGGAATATATATTCTAATAATATCTGATGATGATCTATTAACAAGGCTTCTTAGCAGTTCAGGGGATAAGCGATAAAAATCTAATCCCACTAACCCTGTGTGATCAAAGCACTATGTGAATGAGGTAGCACTCTTGCATTAGGCGAGGTGGCAGAAGTCATTACCTCTAGGTGACAGGCTGGAAAATTCAGGCTCAAGCAGATTAAGTAACTTGCTTAAGGTTTAAGGGCAAGTGTGGGTAATGAAAAGATTTGCTTTACCTAGTTTGATTCTAACTCTTCTATTATTTACCAGGGTTGTCATTCTTCCCTTTTTTGATCAATGCCTCTGAAACATGCCATAGCATTCTTGAGACATCCAAGGAGTAAGTTTTGAGCAAGAGAGGCTCTTGAATTTAACACTTAACAGTGCACTTCCACAACAGCTGAAGCAGATGTGAGTTGGGACTTCTGTGGTTCCTCCCCTCCCATTTGCCACCACTGTTCATTACTATTCGTGTTCCTGCCCTCTATTTGCAGAAGCACTTTTCTTCATTCATTGAGAGACAGTTAATTCTGTTCCAGATCAGAGGAAACACCTGGTTTTGCAATACTGTTTAGCTAGTGTATGTATGTTTGTTAATAAATGTCTTTTGAAGCTCTCTTATTTGGACTATGGTAGGGGTAAAGTGGTAATTCAGCTACTTACTTTTCTTTGAGAATATGTCTTAAGCTGGAATAATAGCGCTTATTTTAATTATTGGGTTTGGGGTTGTACCTGAGTAACTCCTTGAATATCTGGATAAGAGCTTCTCAAGGGATTTATTGTCTGGGTGAGACTTTTTAGATTCTGTCATCTGTAAGCATTTCAGTGGTCGTCTTAGTAACCAATTCAGGAGAAGACAGGTGTTTTAATTGCATAAATAGACACCTATCTACAAGGCTGGATTTAAACTTCATTCACAAAGTGAAGCAAGACTATAAATATTTTCTTGAGCCAGATATTAATGATTATTTGTTAATATGACATTTTCTCAATTAATAAATTTTGAAGATTACTTACACCTCTGGAAGTGGTTTTGCACTCTGGAGTTAAATCTTGAAATTGGTCTTTGGAGCAATTAGTCTCCTCAATTTCATATTTAATTGCATAATTCCATCCAGCTACCACCTAGAACAGATATTTTGGAGATACATCATGTAAACCAGTACAAACTTGGAACTTAAACTATTAAATGTGATTTGCAAAGAAAGCAAAACAACTTTTCTCGTGCCTTCCATCCATCAAGTCACCTTGCAGTCATTGAGCCATAGAGTATTCATGGAGAGAAAAGAAAAACACCAAACTTGTTCTTGTGATACAAAAGTTAAACTAAGTACACTACAAGCACACTTTGTATTTAGATTCCACTTCTCCTAGCAAGCCTGCAACCTCATAATGGTTGGTTTTTTGTGCTTTCCTCCAAAGTATGTGTAACTTACTACTCCCAGTGACAGGAAGCTGGTCTAGATAGATGACTGTACTAATACAGCTTGGCAAGTCCTATGTTCCTGAGTATGGGACATAGTAAAGAAGTATCTGAATAACGTAGCTTTATACTGCTGACATCATTTGTTATTGACTATCTTGCAATTATCATCACCTATAATTCTGTCTGCCTTCCCCTGCCTGCTGTTTTGTTCAGATTTGTGACCCTTTTTTTCATTTTCTCTCCTGGAAGTGATTCAGTTTTCCTCACTATGGCTACTGCTGCTCACCCATGAAATCTCTCCATGTCACAGTGTTGGGCTAGAAAGGGGAAATAAGAGCCAAATATAGGAACTTTCCATTCCGGCTCAATTAAAGTGGAGGGCTCTGACTACTCTCTGTTGGCCAGAAGTGACATGATGGTTCTCTTTCCAGCTGCTGGATTTTAGTCTGTCCGTGACATTTTGTCATGTGGCTTAAATGTTGTGCAATCTTGTCCTTCAGCTAAGAGGATCATTGCCATCAGTAAATAGAGAGAGGACAGTCTGAATTAAATCATGGGTCAAATTGATATGAGATTAGAAATGCTTTTTGGCTAAGTAAATACATATACATACAAAGAAAAGGATCTGTATTTGGTGTTAGGTTATATACTGGTTAAAAAAAAATAAACTCTACTTTCTAGCAACAATCACACTATCCAAGGGAAAGCCTTTCACAGAGAAATAATTGTTGCTTGGAATACCAGATGACACAGAATTTCTGCAACTTGAGAAGTCACTTCTTGCAAAGCAGATATTAGTGTGCAGAAATCTTTCGGCAAGTGGCATGTTGGCATTTTGTTTTTCTTACCCAATTTTCCTGTATGGGGTTTACTTGTACTATAGTGTGTAGCAGCTGCTTGCATATGAGCACTAATGCATTGCAAAAACATAGATGCCTGCTGCTGTTTGAGAGGCTGAAGAGTATATGAGATGTCTGTGCTGGCTGGCAGTTTTGTCACAGCACCTAAGACAGATCTGCTCCTGCTGGAGCTTCAGGGTGAGGCCAAGTAGAATACCCAAGAGTCTTGAAGATGACACAAGGTGTCTGTGTCAGCAGTGAATGCAAATAAACTGGGACTGAACACTGGTTAGATGGAACTGCAGACAAAGTATGTTTGCCACCAGTTCGTAAAGTTAAAAGCTTTGAAAATACAGTAGGTAACAATTTATGATTTCTTATAAATGAAGAGAATTATTTACAGGATCTACTCTATATGTATTTTGTATACTTTTATTATGAATTATAACCTAACTTAAAAATCAGAAACATGTACATAAAACAATCAGGGTCTGGAGTTTTGTGGGGGTTTTTTTGGTAAAATTTAGAGAAAAATCGTACACAAACCTGTCTTGTAGCTTCTTTTATTTCCACAAGCTTAAAAAGGGCAGGTTCACCACTATGCTTGTTAAACTTCTGAATGGCTTGTTTCAGAATTTCCAGCACTACTGAACTGTCACTTGATATAGGATGAAAGCATCCAAGACATGTAGCCTGAGTAAGTGTTATCTTTGGCATAGCTGCAAAACAAAACAAAAAGAAAAAAAAAAGGACTTCATGTAAAACAGTCCCAGGTTTTAATTTTTCCTATGTGGGAATGAGAGAAAAGGCTCAATGAGCTAGAACCTTTCCTGCATTTAACTGGGAGGAGCAAAACCAGGCACAGCTACAGGTTGGGCAGAGAAGAGATTCAGAGCAGCCCTGCGGAGAAGGACTTGGGGGTGTTGGTTGATGAGAAAATGAACATGAGCAGGCAGTGTGCACTTGCAGCCCAGAAAGCCAACCGTATCCTGGGCTGCATCAAAAGGAGCGTGACCAGCAGGTTGAAGGAGGTGATCCTGCCCCTCTACTCTGCTCTCCTGAGACCTCACTTGGAGTATTGTGTACAGTTCTGGTGTCCTCAACGTAAAAAGGACATGGAACTGTTGGAACATGTCCAGAGAAGGGCCACGAGGATGATCAGGCAACTGGAGCACCTCCCTTATGAAGATAGGCTGAGGAAGTTGGGGCTGTTCATCCTGGGGAAGAGAAGGCTGTGTGGAGACCTCATAGCAGCCTTCCAGTATCTGAAGGGGGCCTATAGGGATGCTGGAGAGGGACTCTTCATTAGGGACTGTAGTGATAGGACAGGGGGTAACGGGTTAAAACTTAAACAGGGGAAGTTTAGGTTGGATATAAGAAGGAAATTCTTTCCTGTTAGGGTGGTGAGGCACTGGAATAGGTTGCCCAGGGAGGCTGTGAGTGCTCCATCCCTGGCAGTGTTCAAGACCAGGTTGGACGAGGCCTTGGGTGATATGATTTAGCGTAAGGTGTCTCTGCCCACGGCAGGGGGGCTGGAACTAGATGATCTTAAGGTCCTTTCCAACCCTAACTGTTCTATGATTCTCTGATTCTAAAACTCACATTTCAGTTTCAGGGCCTGCAAAGGCATTCACTGCATCATGTTTTTGTTTGTGGTGGCGGGGTGCATCCATGACATTTGGATCCAGGCATGGTTTCAGCAGCAAACTTCAGTCAGAGGTGTGGGTGAGTTCAGGAGTCATTGAATCTCCAAACCTGACACCACCCAGGAAGGGTCATCACTCATTCAGTCAGGCTAGAGCCACTGGAGGCTACAGCTTAGGAGATGTTCTTTCAGATTTTTCAATGCTCAGCTGCTGCGGGCAGCTGCTTCCTGTCCTCACCATGTTTCAGGGTGGGGACTTTGGCACGTGTGCTTTGGCTCACCCATGTGAACTGCTCTGACTTTGAGCTCCTTCGGGGCTGTAACTATTTTACTGCTGTGCTGTTTGAAACCCCTGCTAGTCACTGTGGCTGCCAGTTACCACTTGGTGTTACCTTCAGGATTAACCAACTGGATTGTCTGTGCATAGACAAGCTTGATGGGGGTGCTCAAACTTCTGTTTCCTACTCCTAATCCTATTCCTTCTCTTTCTAGTAATCATGGATTGGGTTTTCATAAATTAATTTTATAGTTCAGTACATAAATTAATTTCATGATTCAGTGAGCTTGAGAATGAAAGTGGGACAATATGGGGTCTCTATGGAATTGAAGTAAAATTTGTGTACCTTATCCTTAGCTGGCTTAAACTGGTTTTAATGGAGGTAAGCCAGCTTCCACCAGCCAGAAACCAGTCCAGAGTCAGTATGAATAAACTGTTCTACAAAGAAGGCTGCTACCTGACATGGTGGGGAAATCCCTCACCAGATAGGATCTATTGTTTTACTCTTTCCATTTTAATCCTTCAGATTTGATTTGTCTCTTCTGTACATTGTGAATATCTCAGTGTAAGCAATACTATTTAGTGTTAGCTCTCCAAGGGGTACTTGAGTGAGAGGTCCTGCCCTTTGTATTTTTACCATCACTTTTCTTGACTGACAAATATATGCATGTTACAGAAAAATATGACCATGTTTCCAAGGAGTAATCACAAAGTAGATAATAAAACATAAAGTGACTATGGTACCAGCATTTTCATAAGTGCTGAACAAACGAGTATTCTTTTTTCAGAATTGCTATGACTTGCTAAAAGGAGATGAGCTTCTTAGGCTGAATAGATAATTCATTTATGTATGTTTGATTAGTTTTCTAAGCAAAGATTCAAATGCAAATTTCCTTCCCATGCATTCTCTGTGGGATTCACACACCTTCTACTGGCAACTAGATGTCACCATTGCCCCACAAATGCATCTAAACCAAGTGATGTTTATTCTGTAGCAGAATATGGATTTTGTGTGTACTGCAGTTCCTAGAATGACACTGGCTGTAGGTATAGACATTTAGCTTTAAACAAGGTAATTAGGAACAAAAAACAGCAAGCTCCCAGCTACCGGTTAGTTTAAAACTAGCTTGGATATGTCTTACATGAACGCGGGGCATAAGCACATAGAGATCTCAGTTGTAAAGCTTTAAAGCAGTGATCTCTTTGTAATACAGGAAATTACTATGTGAACATAGTCATATATGAATGTCTTGCAGGCAAGAAATGTAGTACTGCTTATTGCTAAGGTCTAAAAGATATCACAGTTTCTTATGCATAATTACATCATTCCTAGATTTTTATTTTGTAAATTTTTTTTCTTTTTTTTTTATGAGGGTAAATGTTCTTTTAGTGTGCAAACAGAAATAATTAATACTTTTTAGTTTGGATAAAATTAAGATACAATTTTGTAATATAGTTTTTTTTCTAATAATTTCTGGTGCAATTTTATACTTGAATAAATAAAGACAAATTTTAAAGCATGAGAAGTGGTATCTAGTCTCTAAGTTACTGATATGTTTTGATCTTAAGCAAATTCATTGTAACTTGGTATAATTCCAGTGTTTGAAGAAACTTACTACACCTGCCTGTGCTGGTTTTCATTACCCTGGACAGACATTGACAGTGCTTCATTAACTTAGTCTATATGTGCATAATAGTGAAGTGAAATTTTGTCTTTAACATGTAGTTGCTTAAGGATGATTATTTATAAATGTCTGAATAGAACAATAAGGAGCTCCTATCTTTAAAATTACCTGAAAGTGGCAGTATTATATATTTCCTATTCTTATTTGTCAATGTACTTGCTGAATGCTGCCCCAAACAGTTCCATACCTGGAAATATTTTGCAGTCTTGTGAAACATTACTTGTTTTTTCAGCATTATTCATGTGAACCTGAGCTGTGCATTCTCCTGTTTTCTGCAAAAATATATGATAACATTTGTCTTAAACTTGCTGAAGAAAAAGGCAATATTATATATTCTTGTAGCTGTTGAATAAAGTTGACAGTTGCAAATTGTGTTTGGGGAACAAGTTCATATGTACACTTGCAGTAATATCTAATTTGCTGGTTTGTTACCCAAAAATGAACAGTTTTGTTTGCGAGGAGAGTAGGGGATGAACTGAGCAGATAGTTTGAAAGATTGCTTTGTATCATGATTGATGCATGCTAATTAACTAAAGAATTTGCAGTCAGAATAATGGAACTGAACACATCCTCATAAATGAAGTCTGTATAAATTTTGTATTTATATCATTTCCACACTGCTAGGACAAGATATGCCTCAATGACCATGGCATTTCACATTGATTCGTATGGTATCACAACCATCCCTTTTTTTGCATTGTGTAGTGTGGGAAGTAACAATGACTTCCACTGGATATATGCAGTGTTCATGCCCACTATGTGTGCCCCAATTGTATTTCCTCTCGGTGCCCTCTAGCAGCATGAGCCAGACATGCTTTATACTGCTAAAAGTCCTCTGTAAATCTTCTGCCATAGTGGCTTCCATGAGAGTATTTTTGTTGGTGCAGATCTGAAGTAAATTTGGTTGTGCAAGTTTCTATTATGCATAATTAACAGAAAGTTTTATAGCCCTTCCGTGTATGTTATGTTGAATTTATGGTGAACCTTCCTATTGAAGCACTGAAATGTTCCCTTCTGTACATATTCAGGATTATAATGGTAAACTCATTTTATAACGGTTAATTTAATGTTGTAAGTATTTCTGTATTGTACTTTAATCCTCTCAAAAGCAACACAGCTAAAAAAATTTAAATTCTCTGCTGTATTTTTCCCCAAGCAACTGCAGTCCTGGTTATTATGCTGATGTTTCTATACAGAAGACTTTTAAAGAGAACAGATACTTACAGCCTCTGCAGATACTTTGTAATCACAATCTTGCCAGAGTTTGTTTTCATTAGTGGCACAAGTGGTTTCTTGTATTCGGTATTTCACATAGAACTGTGCTTCAGGACCTGCCTGGATGAAAACATGCATGTCATTGTTTGTGTAGTGATAGATTAGGTGAAAAGACAAGAGCTTCAAAAGGTAAATACTATCCGTTTTATAGTACGGTCTCAGATTAGCTGCTGGTCTCCATACAAGGTCTCCCAAGTCTTCATAGTTCAGCAATTAACTTATCTAATTATATTAATGAGCCCTTACTTACAAAGGTAGGTAGTATGTTGACACAATAGATGCAGTATGCTCAGCCACCTTCATTTTAAATTATAGTACCAAGATTTTTAAAACCAGAAATAAGTAGTTATATTCATACTCAGTACTGAGTATATTCATACTCATATTGAGTACTCCAAATAAGCAAATTTGGGTTGCTGCTCAAATAGCTAGCATAATTACCAGCTTGGACTGTGCTCCTGCCTGACTCCTCCACTCTTACTCTTGGCCTTCTCCCAGATCTGTCTACTTTACTTCTATACAATTCTATAGGCAGTCCAGAAACAGCAGCCAGCAACCCTCAGGCAGGCTGGCTGTGCCCAAACTGCCTTTACACTATAGTAACAGGGTATGTCGGCTGCCTTGCCTGCTTGGTGGAAAGGGGTGAGGAGACCATATGCTCTGGAGACAGCCTTTGGAAGTGCCTGCAATTTTCCTCTAGGCATTGAAGCCTGTGCTGCTCATGAGGGTAGATTATATACGTAAATATATTATGATATTTCATCCATAAGAGAAAACACAGACAAAGCATTAAGTGAAGTTAGGCCTGGCCTCTGGATTGGTTTCTGATTTTGGTAAATTAGGAGGGGCAATTTCTCCTTGACATAAACTGAGTAGTGAGACCGTGCCTACAGGTAACATTAACACGATGCAAGGTTTGTGGTTAATCCTTTAGAGGAAATGTAAAGCTGGAAATTACTACTTTCGCAGCCACTAAAGCTGCTCTTCCAACGTGCTTTATCTAGTACAAACACAGGCAGCTGCTGGACTTTAACACGTTATTCTCAAATGATACTGCTGGAGAATAAATTATAATTCTTGCCTTAGTGGTACCAAGAAAGTGAAGCTGAGGTGATGGAAGTGGAACATACTGGATTTACACTTGTATAGACACAGAACTAGATTCTGTGTTCTCTCATTTTCTGTTGAGTATTGCTACAACTACAGAAGTGTAGAGGTACCTGATATAATGGTTGAAAGTTGTAAAACAGGATGAAAGAGTCTCTAAAAATGTAATGGACTTAATCCTCAGCAGGTATAAATTAACTTTTATGGAGCTGCATCCAGATTATATTATTGGGAATGTGGATTTAAAAAGAGCTGAATTTTGTTTTTTGTTACAGTGTTCTAAGTCTGCAGTAAATCAACTCAGTGAGTAAATGAAAGAAGTGAGAAAAGACATTGTTTCTGTATTTGTTGTTGGTCTATTTCATTATTATAATGAATAGCTATGCCTTTAACTGGGGCAGGTTCAGCCTTTCACCAGTCAGCTTTTATGTTTTATTACCTTATCAATAATGAATGTACATGAATATGTAATACCCAGCTATTTAATTAATGCATTCAACATTGTGAGACTAACGATGAGCAAAGTCTATACTCTTTTTAGAAAAAGAATAACGAATATGAGGAAATCTCTATTGCAGATTCCATTTTTTAACTTAACATCATAGTCAGATCAATGATTCAAAGTAATAACTGATTTCCATCTCAGATCTTTTAAGGAAAGGAAAGATGGATATCTAGAGAAAGATAAATAATAATTGCAATAAACATGTTCTTAAAAACAGAACATTGTTTAAGATAAAATACTGAAACTAACACCTGTCCTTTGGGACTATCAGCAAAAGGAAGGTGATGTTACAGCTATGATATAATGATATTTGCATTTGGCTGTTGTTAAAGATGTGTGTTGGTCAATGAAGACAGTGAGACTTCGTTTGTTTAATATGAGTTGCATAAAGGGTTTGCCAGATTTCAGTCTTTGTCACTACATGATAAAATCTCCCCAGTTTGGAAACAGGAAAATCGGAGGGTAAGTGCCATGGGATGTAAGTAGTTTACTCTAAAGCATTTAGCAATTCATGTCCCTTTTCTGGGTAAAAGTGTCTTGTGATTTTGTAGTGCAAAATATTCTCTCTGACACTGGGTTTCTTATGTTTTACATCTGAAAATCCAATCCAATAGAAAGAAAATGCTAATGATGTTTTCAAGTAAAGTAATGCTTGTCATTGTTATGGTAATGTCTTCTTTGTATGCCTCTCAGAGATAAATACTCTTTTGTTAGATTAACACTATGCAGAAGGACTCCAGGCAAAGGATCATGTTTCGTTCTTTTTTCTTCTGTAATTTTAGCTGTCACCCTATTTGTCTAAACTGCTACCTAGCGCTTTTACATAGATCTGTGACTCGGGACTAGTGTCAATCAAATAATAGTCACAAATAATTTATTCCCTGTATTGCCAAATTTTACGAGGTCTTTCTTCTTCATATGTGCTACCAGCTCTTCTCAAATCAAGATAATACTCACATTTTTTAGAAAGTATGGTTTTGCCATTGATCTGACAACCTTACTGATGATGGAAAGGGATAGGATTCCCAGCACAGAAAGGAGAATTGAGAGTGGACTAGTAAGACACAAACTGTATTAGTGGTAGAAATGTTCTATTCTTTAGTCCCTGAATTAATAAGCAGTTCACCAGCACACATAGTTTTGTTGATAAGAACGTAATAGATGTTCCTTGTCACAGTAGTGAGTATCTTACTGTGCAAGTAATTTCTTTGGGTTTTTGTAAACGTTCTGGAATATGCTTTGCTGTCATGCTTTCTTTCTTATGAAGGAGAGAGAGAGAATCTGATTCAGAGTGCATGAACAATTCAATCCTCTTTTTTTTTTTTTCTTTCAAAGTCTACTTACAGTTCTCTTGGCTTCCATCACCATGTGCAGAGCAAATTGATTACCAGTTGCTATGTCTCCGTTGTATTTCTTCAGTGCTGTGTCAACAGCTTGAAAGACATCAGGATCATCACAGTCCAAAAACTCATGTAGAAGAGGGGTGGCTCTGCTAGAGAAAAAGCTACAGCAGAGTGCTAGTACAATAAGATAGATCATAATTAGATTTTTAAAAAAGTGCCCCCTCTGAATTAGAAGGCTCTTTAAAAACCAAATTCAAAAGGAATGCTTGACAAGGTTTTAGTCACCTCTCGTGTTTTTCAGGAGCTACAGCTAAGTAAACAGAATGAATGGGCTGCTGGGGTTGGTTGGTTTTCATCATACCCTGTTTATACTGCAAATAAACTTCTGAGTTTATCTAAATAAACTTTATGTGGTCACCAGAATGACACTAGGGTTATCCACCTGCCATCAAAATAACAGGCTAAATGGCTGTAGTTGGGGACAGGATTAGACTAAGTAGGATGGCCCCTGGGCAAAAGAGAAAGCAGAATGTTTGTAGGTTTCTAGCTCCTTAAAGTCTAAACTGCTACTGAGAATCTATTTTTGAAGGCTTAAATGAAACACCCAAGAAGGTCACAGTAGCAATGAAGTTCTGGTTCTGGACAACAACCCTGTAAATTTTATAGATCTGTTTAGTGTTCAGACTGCAATAGTTCTGAGAAGTCAGAACATGTTTGAAAAAGCCTTTGGACAGATGCATGTTGTTGAATATCGCGTAACTCTTCAATGACACTTGATAAACCTTGTCCTTCATGCTACTCTTGGAAGGGTCCATCCTTGCTGCCATGTGACAGCTACCTTTGGACCATGGATTAGTCTTCAGAATTTTTTGTTACCATTACAGGTAGGGAAAGTGATGCCCAAGAACAAGTGATTAAGTAATGTTGCCTGTGTCTGTCAGAGCCAGAATCAGAGTTGGCTGGGAACATCTGGTGCTTATCTCCAGTGCTGAGTACCAAATAGCTTTGCTTTAAATCTGTGAATGCTTTAGGATTGCCTCAGCTCCATTGTTCTAGTTGTATCTTGCTGTATTGAGTTTGCATGGCAAGGTTTTGGTAGTGGGGTTGTACAAGTGTGGCTTTTGTGAGAAGCTGCTGGAAGTTTCCCCCATGTCCAATAGAGCCGATGCCAGACAGCTCCAAAACGGAGCTGCTGCTGGCCAAGGCTGAGCCATTCAGCAAATGGTAGCGCCTCTGGGATAACATATTAAGAAGGGGGCGGGGGGAACAGCACAATAGCAACTTCAGCTGGAGAGGGGAGTGAAAATATGAGAGAGAAACAGCCATGCAGATAGGAAGATCAGTGAAGGAGGTGCTCCAGGTGTTGGAACAGAGAAACCCCTGCAGCCCATGGGGTGGCCTATGGTGAAGCAGGCTGTCTCCCTGTAGCCCATGGAGGTCCGCGGCGGAGCAGGGGTATGCTCAAAGGAGGTTGAGACCTTGTGAGAAGCCTGTGCTGGAGCAGAATCCTGTCAGGACCTGTGACCCCATGGAGAGAGGAGCTCACACTGGAGTAGGTTTTCTGGTAGGGCTTGTGACCCAGCAGGGACCCATGCTGGAGCAGTCTATTCCTGAAGGACTGCACTCTGCAGAAGTGACCTGCACTGGAGCAGTTCATTAGGAACTGCGGCCTATGGGAAGGACTCATGGTGGAGAAGTTAGTGGAGGATTGTCTCCTGTGGGAGGGACCCCACTGTGGAGCAGGGGAAGAGTGTGAGGAGTTCTCCCCTGGGAAGGAAAGAACGGCAGAGACAATGTGTGATCCTGTGACCACAACCCCCACTCACTGTTCCCCTGCACTGCTGGGATGGGAGGAGGTAGAGAATTTGGGAGTAAAGTTCAGCCTAGGAAGAAGGGAGAGATGGGTGGAAGGTGATTTTAAGATGCAGTTTTATTTCTCATTATCCTACTCTGATTTGATTTGACTAATTTCTCCAAGTCAAGTCTGTTTTGCCCTTGACAGTAATTGCTGAGTGATCTCTCCCTGTCCTTATCTCCACCCATGAGCCTTTGGTTATATTTTCTCTCCCCTGTCTAGCTGAAGAGGGGAGTGGTGGAGTCCAGCTGGGGTCAACCAGCCGCATTTGCTACAAGTTTTGCTTAAAGAAAATGCACTTTAGAGGCTTTGTGGATAAACTATGCAAGAAATAAGGTTGTTCATACATGGTAATGCACTTTTAAAAATTAGACAACCTCCATTCAGTTACACAAAATGCTGTTTTCCCATTTTGTTTTTTTCTCCAGCATAGCCCTCACGCTGTGTTTTACTTTATGCTATTAAAAATCTACTTTGAGGACTAAATAACTAATTTTTTAAGATTAATCCCATGTTCTTTCTTATGAGATAACCATTCTGAACTAACTCATTGACATTCCAGGTGTGTCTGAATGGACTTCAATTTGATGGGGGCTACAGTTCATAGAGACACAAGTATTCTTTCTTCCTGCTCCTCCCAGCTCCGTTTCCAATGAGGAAGGTTCAGTGAAAACATTTACATGAGTTATTACATGCATTTTCTTTTCTCCTCTTCTGAGAGCAATTATGAACTGTTTGAAAAGCGCTGTCCTTGAACGCAGTATTTCTGGCATATCACCACCTGTAACTGTACCAATGTAGCAGGCCACCCTACTGTGTTAAACTCCAAGTTATTAACTATTCTCAGATCTTTTCTAAATAATGTTGGGAACCCAACCACTATTGATCAATATATCTTAGAGTATGCCTCATGGATGTTTACTGTGCAGCTAAACTTACATAGTAACAAAAAGGACAAAACTTTGGCAGCCATGTCAAGAAAAAAAGAAAGCATACATATTTTTATTTTCTTTGAATTTTTATAAAGCGTGAGTGTAGTGCTATGGATCATTTTTTATGGAAATTGGTCAGATTTCCTTGAGTCAGATTTCCTCAGAGAAGTACATTATGATTATGAATTATGAGAAAATGAAAGATTTTACATAGTATTTTTGACTATTAGGAAATCTTCTTTTTTGTTAGAACTAAAGGAATATTGTTTGCTGGGGAGATTTGTACCCATTCACACTATCTGAGGGACTCAGAATTTAGAGCCTTTCAGTTACAGTGGAGTCTGAGATAGATGGGATCAAGAGGCAGGTTGGAATACCTAAGCATTAGTTTTTGTGCTGCTTCTTAGAAATTATATCCTTTTCCCCCTTCTCCACATGGTGTTTTCATTCACTGTACAGCTGTCATTGGCCCTGCAACTCTCAAGCCAGGAGACCCAGACTCTCTGGGGTCATGTAGATTTTTCTGCCATGGAGCTATGTGGAAATAAAGGCAAAATTTTTGGAAGAACAAGTTTGGGCATTCCTGGGCATGACTTTGATTGTGTAAGTTGATCTAGAAAACCTGGAGCTTCTGGCATCTCCTTGAGACTTGAGCTAGTGAAAGGAATACCTTCACCAGAATGAGGGTTGCTTTGGAATAGATGAAGAAAGTTTGCAGTGGGAGGTGTGAGAGAATCCCGCTGATTTAGAACTGGAATGCGATAGAGAGCTTCTGTTATTTGGAATGGAATATACTTTCCTGACATGTTTGTCTTGTTGCAGTGATGTCTATAATGGTGATCATGGAAATGAGGAGGGTGATGTAGTCCATGATGGGGTGGAGGATGATGGTGGTGATGTGGCCCATGAGGGGGGGGAGGACAGTGTGGTCCGTGATGGGGAGGAGGATGGTGGTGATGTGGTCCATGAGGAGGGGGAGGACAGTGTGGTCCATGAGGAGGGGGAGGGCAGCGTGGTCCATGATGGGGAGGAGGATGGTGGTGATGTGGTCCATGAGGAGGGGGAGGGCAGTGTGGTCCATGATGGGGAGGAGGATGGTGGTGATGTGGTCCATGAGGAGGGGGAGGGCAGTGTGGTCCATGATGGGGAGGAGGATGGTGGTGATGTGGTCCATGAGGAGGAGGAGGACAGTGTGGTCCATGATGGGGACCAGGAGGAGGAGGATGTGGTGCATCATCAGGAGGAGGAGCAGAAGGGGAATGTTGTGATTCTTCTTGGGGAGGAGAATGTGGTTCATCATGGTGAGGAGGAGGGGGATGATGTGGTCCACCGTGGGGAGGAGGTGGAGGACAGTGGTGTGGAGGGTGAAGGTGGTGATGTGGTCCATCATGGGGGGGAGGAGGAGCAGCTTCTTCATGGCTGTCTTGATGTTCTTCATTGAAACTGTGGTCATGCTCAGGGTCTTCGGGTCTGGACTGAGAAGGGGGTGGACATCCATGCCTGTGATGATGTCTGTGGCCAAAATGATGATGGGGATGTCTGTGCAGTTGTCCCAGAGCTGAATATCTGCATCTTTTCCCATAGCCATGCTTCTGTTTGTAAAAACACCAGGGGAGGAAGTGTTAACATGTTAATAGGACAGAGAAAGAGACAGAAGTGAGAGGTAGTAGGTTTGCATTTATGGATCTGGTGAACCCCCAAACCCCCAAACCAAACTCTGCATTTTTTCAGGATAGAAGAGAAGGAGTAGATGATAAAATGCTAAATTACTGAAAATTGTCTGGAAATACTACACCATAACAAAATGAAATGAGCAAAATAAACAAAATTTGTGATGTATCAAAACAAAATAAACCCCACATTGGAGTAGCTGTCGTAATATAAACTGGAGTGCCAAGTATGGTAAAGAGCATCTCCCCTCCTCTTGCTTTCTAAAGTTCCTCTGAACTTGTTTGTCATCTCTATTCACTTTGACTAAGGAGTACGATTGGACTAGGAGGAGACACCCTTGGAGCGAGTAGTAGGGATAACTCAGTTCTAATTCATTCACTGATTGACCTAGCAGTCAAAAGCCAGCCTGTCCTGACATGCTGCATCACACCCAGGCAATAATAAAGGGACATAACAGTTGTTCCAATCATCTGTCAGTCTGGACTAACAGATGATTATGTAGCCTGCATGAGGATATAACCAGAGACATTTCAGTAAGTGAATACATACCCAGGGATGGTAGATTTCACAGCTTATATCTGTTCCATCAGGTTCTTCTGAACCACTGATAATTCTTGCCTTGCAGAATCCCACATGCTAAGCAAAAGAAGAAGTCAAAAAACAATGCACATCTGGGTTCTTGTGGTGGAGTTAATAGAAGTTACTGGAAGTTTAACATTTTGAAAGCTAGGCTAGTTCCTTCAGTACCTAAGTATGTTTATGTAACTTGGCTAGATCCTGAGCTTTCTGGCCAGTGATACTTGTCAGTGATTAATCATGATTAAAATATATGCCATTTTTTAGTATGCTTTACTGTGAAGACCACTTTGCCATGGGCATGTAGAGAGCTGCTACACTCCAACTTAGCTTTCTTTTGATGTCTGTAGGTAATTGGTCAATGTCTCCAAAATGAGTACCCCATGAGTGACTGATTTTTTTTTTTTTTTTACTTTTTTTTTTTCTGTCTTTGCTTGTCAAATGTCTGCTCATACTGGCTACTCTGAAGTTTTGCTCAAAGTCCTCAAAACCAGACACTGCATAGCTATGCTGCTTCAGACAAAGTTCAAGGTAGAGCTTTCACCCATATGTATTTTTGATAAGTAATCTTTCATAATCTTTTAGCGTTACTTCCCTTAGCATTCTGTTTGCTGTGACTTTCACCTGCTGTCCAGTCATTGTGTGTGGAATTGCTCATGTGAAAGTGCACATAACTCGGGTAAAGTGTTCTGTGTATGTTCTCTATGTTATCTATAGTGGGTGTTTTGTCTTGATACATGTTTGGGCCATTAGTAGCCTGTTGTGATCAATGGTTATAAATGTTAACAGCAGTTTACACACATACACCAGTGGTGGCAGCATTGAGAACAGAATTCAAAAACTAGCTGTCTCTCTGGCTTGTCCTTCATTCTAGTGAACTTCTGTTTCTGATACCTGTCCATTCACAACCGTTCCCAGTCGTCTGGAATATAAAGAGCCAAAGCAGAAAATGGATGTAGATAAAATAAAAGTTCTACATGTTTTATTTTTCCATATTTTATTTGATTCCTTCAATTTAATTTCTGAAATTTATTCTGAAATTAGGACCTTGCCTAGTTATTTCTTTGGTGTAGACTATTATTGCAATGGGAAGGTGGGTGAGGAGAGTACTTTTATAGTAATTTGCAGGCAAGCCTGAATTATTCCACTATCCATTTCCCTGCAGCAGAGGAAAACAAAAAAAAAGTAACCCTGGGCTCAATGGGATGACAACACATGCATTTTTTTCAAGATCTATGATTTGTGTTAGTGTAAAAGTTTGCATGAATGATTTACTAGGGAATGGCCACAGTTCAAATATGAAAGCCACATATAAACTGAAAAGCTCACCTCTAGGCCTGTAATATACCAGACTCCAGCTACATTTAAATTCAAAAGTTCAGACTGGTTCCTTACAGAATAAAAAGGAGCAGCTGTAAAATTAGCACCTGGACATGGACATGCTGGATTTTAAATTTTGAGTTGGGGTGTATGCTTATAAGAAATACTTGGAAATATTGTGGGAAGATCTTCCTGGTGCCATTCATTTTATCAGTTTTCATTCTAAGACTACTTACAGTGTGCCAGTCATCAAGAAAATCACATTCCAATGCCTGATCTGCTTGTTGTGCAGGTTTGGAACAGTTGGTCTCTTTTATAGAAAATCCTAAAATGTGACCTTCACGGGAGCCAATCTGAAACCAAGAGGTCAAACAAGAAGTAGCAACTAGGTGTATTTAAAGTTCTGTAATTTTAAAAGCAACCATACTTCATATCATTGTCAAAATCCCATCTACCTCATGCTTTCATTACCTGTGCTGTTCCAATGTTAATATATATACGGTAAGGAAAATAGATTATATATTTTATACCTTACTTTCTGCACACCTTTATGAGTTCCAGGAATGGTTGCTTTATTTCTTTGTCTGGTATCTGTATGTATTAAGACCTGTTACTTTTGCAGTCTGTGTTTTTAGAAAGTAGCATCCTTAGAGTCTTCTCCCCAAATTGAACTGCTGCTCCTCTGAAAGTACGGAGATCTATTGGATGACAACCACCACTTTCCAGTGATGGGAATGCATAGTACTACAGTGCTGATGTTATTTTGAGATAAAATTTTGCCAGTTACAGTGAGATTGTTGCTTTCTCTGTTGTCAGTGGCATTATTCATACAGAAGGCATTGTTCCATAAGATCATGAGAGAAAGCCTTTGTGATCCTAGTAAAATCCATAAAAAGGTGTTTCGTTTTAATTTCCAGCTGTAGTAGTAGTTTATTTTAAGTCTGTGTGAAAGATGTCCATAGCATATGTGTGCACACAAGTTTCATTAGCTTGACTAAACTGGTTAAAAGTGGATGCACATACCTTATGGTATATGTTTTATCATAATTAATAGTTTCTAAGTGTTAAGGAGTCTACTGAAATCCACTGGTGCAATCTAAATTGTCACTGTAGCTGAAGGCAGCAAAATGTGAAGTCAAAGCCTTTAGGGAGAAATCTATGAATCAGGCAATCTGAAAACAGCCACTTGCTAAATGGGAGTAGGGGTACACTGCACGGGACTGCAGTGTAGAACACTGTAGTGTTTCTGAGCAATATTAAAAGCTGCAGGGAGGTGGGGTCGGCATGCTATAATGTTGGCAGTTTCCAAGATCAACATGTATTATGGGAAGGACCATGGGACCTCATTACTGAGGTGTCCTGAACTGACAAGTGTTGGCAGATGATCCTGTGCTGTTTGTGTGAAGGTCTCCAGTATCTAGCAACAAGAAATTGTGGTGATGTGAGAGTTATACTTCAAATCACCCAAAGGATAAGTCTTTGTGGTAACATCACTCAAAGATGGAGGAGTTATTTACTAGAGCCAGCAGTTCTTCAAGACGTACAGCACAGATGCATACCTCCTGTCATTCAGAGCTCTTGGAGTGCTGCTTTGCTCTGCAGCAGAGATTCAAAATGCTAAATATGCTAAGAGTAGAAAATTATCTGATTTTGGTTGACAGAATGTGTGACTGTGATAATACAATGACTGTACATCTTAAAGAACTCTGTTCAGTAGTAAATACACTCTTGTATGTCATGGTATGATAGGTAAATAGGCATTCAAAATAAAAACAGGTACACAAAGAAGGCTCTGACATTTTGGTTGCCATCTCACTGCTATAGTTTTTAGCAGATGAAGTCCTTTTGCTTTCACACGCCTAAATTAAAGTTAATAACAAGTCTTTGCAGAAATGGGACCTTCAATTTTAACCAGATGATTTACCACTAAATGGTGACAAGCAATAGCTCTGATCCTAGAAAGTTTTGAGTTCTGATCCCACGGCTTTCAGCTCCTCACAAAATTTTGTCATTTATAAGTAATTTTAGGACAAAATGCCACTTACCATCTTTAAAATCTTTTCAATTTTGTCCACGCCGAAGTAGTTTGTGTGGTTACCCTCATTGTTGAATTTTTCCAGGGCCTTCGCAGCAATATTTTTATGTTGCTCAGTGACTTCTAAGATTTCAACTTTCACAGGACAGTCCTTGCACTCTAATAAATCTGGTGGAACTGTGAAAACAGAGAATTTACTAATATTGCAATGGATATTAATACTCTTGGGAGTGTGCATATGCCTTTAATGTGAACTCATAATGAGAAACTGAAATGCAAACATTTCCTTGGAAGTATAATATCTGTGCCTCACTCCTCAAATATGGGTTTGTTCTATAATATGGAAAAAATACAAACTTGTGGAAATGAATATTCTTATAAATCTTTTAGCTCCACTTTAGAATCTTACTGCCCCAAATGGGCATCCTTCCCAAGTTTAGGTTTGTCCTGATACTCGTTATCATGCTATGGTGGACTGGAATGGTGACATCATCTGACGTTAATAAAGTCTGCTTAGAAGAGCAGGGTAACCTTAATTCTATTACTAATTCTTAACATTCCATTTGAATTATCTAAAATATAAATGAATTGCAAGCAGATGAATGAGTCTGCTATATGGTTACCATATACTAGTAATGCACAGACTTGTAATTTGGCACTAGGCCTGGTTTGAGGCATGCATTGGCTTACAACAGTGATTATTTTACCTGGACTTAATGTACAATTGAATCCATATAGTTGAGGTTTCTCCAGCAGGTGGTTTGTATGCATGATAATCTTACACTGCCCAAAGTCCTGAGAAGAAAAAAAGGATATGTGATTATGATGTTATTTTCTCCAAATTTAATTGGATGTAGGTGATCATAGAAATTATGCCTCCTTTCAATGTACAGTACTTCTGAGAATAATAGATGTGGTCATTAATGGAACGTTTTATCTGGTACCTCCCAAAATTTGTGGTCAGATAAAATGGGATATCCCTTTACAAGAGCCTTTATTTTAATTCTCAGTTTTCATGACTGAGTAGACAATGAAAAACTAAACCAGCCTTCTCAGTCATTCTAATACTTGCAGTAATATAATACTAGCTAACAGGGGATGTTAGGATGACAGAGATACACAAGGTTACATAAATCTCTATCAGAAAATGGATGGACCTTTTCTTCCATTCCTTTTCCCCAACTTAATAAAAAGAATAAATCGCTCTTCTAACTTCTCTCCTCTCCATTCCTCTCCTCTTCTCTCCTCTGCTCTCCTCTCTCTATTCTCCTCATGGCCTTCCTGTTTTGTCCTGTCTGGTAGTTCCACCACTCTCCTGTTTAAGTAAACTTTTGGATTGGTAGTTCTCATCCCAGACTGCTTCAGAGGACTGCAAAAATAAAGGGTAAGTATTGCTACATATCGTATGTGTAATTACACTACCAGTATTTCATATTGTCATACAACAAATGCTATGACAGGAAACTGACGAAATGTAACACTGGTATTTCTGGCTAATATACTAGGAATATGCTTAAAAAATAATTTCTAATGCCTTTTAGTTGTCAGCAAATTATTCTTTAAACATCAGTACTGCTACCACCAGTGGAATGCTGAGTGTATCTTCTCTGAGACAAATAAATAAAGCTGCACTTATTTGAGGAATCAACCCTTTTCCAAACCTTTAGCTTACATTCAACAAGTCTAGAATTCAATAGATTTTATTTTATAGTGAGCCATATTAAAGCCTAATCTTAGAGATTTTGTGACATAGAAATTTCTGGGCAGTTAGTTGAAGATCAAGTTAATGCATTATTGACATACGACTCTGCCTGGGTGCCATTACTTGCCATGGAATAGGTGTCACTGTATTCACAGGATGCCCAGTGTCTTCTGGATAATACAGGGCATTCAGTTTCCAGCACATCCAAAGTTAAGTAGAGGAAAGATGAATTTCCCTGGAAGAGAATTGCAGGTAAAAAAAGAGTTTGTATATAAGAAGTTTGGTCTGAAAGAAACTTCTTTGAAGTAGGCATGTTTAATCTTTAATGTAGCTTCCACAGTTCTCTATTAAGGTTTTTCTGAGCTGACAAGCCTAGAAAGGGTTTAGGCTGGAAGGGAACTTTGAAGATCATCTTGTCCAGCCACTTTCTCAAGGCAAAGCTAGCTCCAAAGTTAGATTCAGATGAGTTTGGTGTATCACCAAGACAATGTTCCACAACATCTCTAAGCTGTTCCAGTTTCCATGGAAAAACTTAACCATTTTCTCCATGATTTATTTTTTGGCCTTACATCTAGTGAGAGTTTCCCTTACTGCAACTCACAACTGTTATCTTTTTGTTGAGAACTTGTGAGAAGAGTGTGTTGTTATCCTGTCATCCATCAAGTAGGGAAAATGCCAGTGTTAAAAAGTTGCCATTATGTCTTTCTGATTTTCACGTAGAACATCGGTCTATTAAGAAATCAGTTGCCTAGGCAGCCAATTCTACAGCTACATCCATCTCAAATGACTTTTGTGATCAGATACTCTTTCAGAACTTTGTTTCCTGCTCAAGTTATTCAAGGAGCAGTGCAACAAAGCTGATTATTGTTTGTAATGTAAAAGTGTCCTGGTTTTGGCTGGGATGGAGTTAATTTTCTTCCTAGTAGGTGGTACAGTTCTGTGTTTTGGCTTTACTGTGAGAATAAGGTTGGTAACACACCTATGTTTTAGTTGTTGCTAAGCAGCACTTACCCTGATCAAGAACTTTGCAGTCTCTCATGTTCTGTCAGTGAGGAGATGCGCATGAAGCTTGGAGGGAGCAGAGACAGGACACCTAACCCAAACTTGCCAAAGGGATATTCCATACCATAGATCGTTATGCTCAGCATAGAAAGTGGGCCAGTTGGCTGGGAGCCACTGATCACTATTCGGGGACTGTCTGGCCAACAGTCAGCAGGTGGTGAATGATTGTATTGTGCATCACTTGTGTTTCCTGAATTCTGAATTTTATTACTCCTTTTCTCTTTTTCCTATTATTATCATTGTTGTTGTTATTATTATTACTATTTACCGTTTTTCAATTGTTAAACTGTTCTTTTCCCACGGGTTTTACCTTCTTCCAATTCTCCTTGGAACCCTCTTGGAATCACCCAGGGGTGGGGGATGAGCAAGTGGCTGCATGGTACTTAGTTGCTCTCTGGGATTAAACTATGACAGTCCTTTTTGGTGCCCAACATGGGACATGAAGTGTTGAGATTACAACAGATCTTACCAGAGCGTGTTAAAACAAATTTGTTATAAACGTTCATGATATTGGTGTAATAGTCACTGGTCACAAAAAATGTTCATTCATTCACCCTTTAATAGCTCCATATGGCTAGTGTGACAGTCTAATGGAGAGTGGAGACTAGCAGTAGACTATCACAGCCTGAATGAAGCCACACTGCCGCTGAGTGCTGCCATACCAGACATTCTAGAACTGAGAAGGTGCAGAGACCTTACAGGGAGAATTCTCTAGCAGTAGAATAGACAGAAGGGTCTTTGCTCTTCTTGTAGGCTCTGTATGATAGCTGAAGCTGAGACCCTGGATCGCAAAGACAGCAGAATTCATTAAGGGTATAAAGCAGACCATAAGCATGTTAGTCTAGTGGTTATACCATTCACCTGGAAATGTGAATCCTCAGCTCTGATCCCTGTTCCAAATTATGGTTCTATGGTTTGTGGAGTTAATAATTGATTAAAATGTAGAAACACTGAGATTTTTCTTTTTAGAAATAACTATGGTTCTACTCTTCCATCCCATGAATTTTGCATGTCTTACTGTCCAGTGACTCCCCTTCACAGGGGTGGCACACACACAGTTGCATGGCAGCAGCATTCTTCAAGAATGGGAGACTTGAAGCCTTAATCTCTTAATGCTGAAGATTAAGAAGGCTGATTGCCCCCTGCATGAGTTCTTTAACTACCTGGCTATTGTGTAAAACCCAATAGTATCACTTGCCACATCCTTGGAATCTGGGCTTTGGGTCACTTCCTGACTTTTTTCTTGTCCTAACAGGCAGTCTTAAGCATCTCCATCAAACCCTGCCTGTTTTTTCAGTTGACATACTGAGATGTGCAATGCATTTCTTAAACAGTGGCTGTGTGCCTGGATTCTAATTTCATAGGCAAGCAGATAAAAGGTAGTCAGGTGCATTAGTATATCTTCATGTCCTTGGTCTCTTTTATCTAATAGTTAAAGAAGTTTTGTATTCTGTTGCTTTTTCTGCTATTTATTTGCTTTGGCATTTAGGCAATCATTGACAAAGGCTTGTGTATTCTCTCTAGGATATAGAAATAGGAAGGAAACAGGAAATGACTGAAGCAGATTCTCTATCCAGCCGTTCCCCTGTTATGCAGAGTGGCATTTTCATCTCCCAGAATTAAGATGATAACAAAATGCCAGTTTTGAGGATAGGTTGATCTAATTAATATTAGACATTCACAGGTTAAAGAAACCCTTCAAATATAAATTTTGAACACAAAAGAGACATGACAACAGGCAGGACAGAATAATTTTCAGTGTTGTGTAAAGCTGTTTGGAGCATCTCTTACAACAACATCTTGTCAGCCAAGAGAATAAGGGCATTCAGCATTGTTCAAGATCAAGCTTATGTACAGTAAACCATGTACAAAGGAATACTGAGACAATGTAAATCAGAACTGATTCCTTGAATTATATCAACATTCCTCTGTTAAAAGCAATAAACATAAGCTTTTAAAGAGTTGGGTCATTATTTTAAAATCACAAGTCTTGTGTAAATCAGCCTTTAAATTGATACTTACTATATGTAGTTCATGTGCATCAGTAACACGGAACAACCCAAAAACATAGCCACTTCTGCGATGTCTGTTGACCAAATCCAGGGCCACTCCTGCATCTGTTTCAACGGTATTACAGTCTGCAGGTGTAATTGTTTTGTTTTGGGCATTAGAGCACTGCAGTAGTATTAGGAAAAAAGCTGAAGCTAGAAGCAGCATTTTGTTTGTGGCTTCAGGTCTCATCTGCCTGTGCTCTAATAAAGTCAGTAGTCTGCTTTTAAATTTAAATCAGAGTAGCCCACCAAAGTTATAAGTGAATGCTAGAAGGGCATGATTTTATATAAATTTGAGTGTTGTGTCAGAGGGCCATTACCTTGACCCTGGATTAACATTTAGAAACATCGAGTAAATGATTAGATAGTGATTTAGCAGATTTTGAGGAAAGTAGGCCTTATAAGGCCCATCAAAGGGACTATGTTTGTGATTCCTTAGCAGACATTGTGCAACAGTGTTTTACTATGAAAAATATGTAGCTTCTAACAATGTGCTGCTGAGCCTGAAATTAAGAAGGTCCAGTTTATGTATGCATGTATTACCCAATCTTGGTTTTCTGTTTATTGTAAAAACAATTGAACTGAAAATACGGTGAAATGTTTGTGGTCAAATGATGGCTATATCCATATCCCTGATTTTACAGATCCTTACCTAGCAGAGAAGTAGTGAAAGGAAAACAAGATGACCCCTTTCACAGGATACACCAATATCCTCTGCTAATCAGAATAGAGATATTATGTCATTGTATTAAAAATATTTATTCAGAATACTTTAAACCATTCTTAAAAGGCAGTAATTGCTTGCCAGAGAGTGGAATAGAATCATAGAATCATAGAACAGTTAGGGATGGAAAGGACCTTAAGATCATCTAGTTCCAACCCCTCTGCCATGGGCAGAGACACCTCCCACTAAACCATGTCACCAAGGCTCTGTCCAACCTGGCCTTGAACACCATCATGGATGGAGCATTCACAACTCCCTGGGCAACCCATTCCAGTGCCTCACCACCCTTACAGTAAAGAATTTCTTTCTTATATCCAATCTAAACTTCCCCTGTTTAAGTTTTAACCTGTTACCCCTTGTCCTGTCACTACAGTCCCTAATGAAGAGTCCATCCCCAGCATCCCTATAGCCCCCCTTCAAATACTGGAAGGCTGCTATGAGGTCTCCACGCAGCCTTCTCTTCCCCAGGCTGAACAGCCCCAACTTCCTCAGCCTATCTTCATACGGGAGGTGCTCCAGTCCCCTGATCAACCTCATGGCCCTTCTCTGGACTTGTTCCAACAGTTCCATGTCCTTTTTATGTTGAGGACACCAGAACAGTACACAATACTCCAAGTGAAGTCTCATGAGAGCAGAAGGGCAGGATCACCTCCTTCAACCTGCTGGTCACACTCCTTTTGGTGCAGCCCGGGATGCGGTTGGCTTTCTGGGCTGCGAGCGCACACTCCCGGCTCATGTTCATTTTCTCATTGACCAACACCCCCAAGTCTTTCTCCACAGGGCTGCTCTGAATCTCTTCTCTGCCCAACCTGTAGCTGTGCCTGGGATTGCTCTGACCCAGGTGTAGGACTTTGCACTTGGCATGGTTAAACTTCATAATGTTGGCATCAGCCCACCTCACAAGCATGTCAAGGTCCCTCTGGATGGCATTCCTTCCCTCCAGCGTATCAACTGAACCACACAGCTTGGTGTCATCTGCAAACTTGCTGAGGGCGCACTCAATCCCACTGTCCGTGTCACCAACAAAGATGTTGAACAAGACCGGTCCCAACACCGATCCCTAAGGGACACCACTCGTTACTGGTCTCCAGCCGGACATTGAGCCATTGACCACAACTCTTTGTGTGAGGCCATCCAGCCAGTTCTTTATCCACCGAGTGGTCCATCCATCAAATTGATGTCTCTCCAATTTAGAGACAAGGATGTCGAACTCTTTGCATAAGTCCAGGTAGATGACGTCAACTGCTCTACCCCTGTCCATCAGTTCCGTAGCCGCATCATAGAAGGCCACCAAATTGGTCAGGCAGGATTTCCCCTTAGTGAAGCCATGCTGACTGTCACCAAGCACCTTGTTTCTCATGTGCCTTAGCATGCCTTCCAGAAGAATCTGCTCTGAGATTTTGCCAGGCGCAGAGGTGAGACTGACTGGTCTGTAGTTCCCTGAGTCATCCATTTTCCCCTTCTTGAAAATTCACTTTTTCCAGTCTTTGAGAACTTCACCTGACCACTATGATTTTTCAGTTACTGAGGTGAATTTTGAATTTTTGAATTTTGCATTGCTGAGGTGAGTAGCTTGAGAGAGGACACCTTCAATACCTGAGTGCGGGAGGGGAATACAAAATTCAAACTCTGAATAAGAAAATGCAAAGATTCGGTGTGAGTCCATATTTACAAGGTCAGTTTCAGATGAGAAATTTTCAAATACTGGTTGGTGTGAAGGTTTGGATCAGCTTCTTATAGAAAAACGTGCCAGCTATATAACTGACTTGGGTTTATATGTTTGGAGGGGTTTTTTTACATATTTTTTGAGAAAAACATTGGGAAATACAATGGGTAGTCACCCTTAACCCTTACCTCATTTCATTAATTCTTGTTAAAAAAAAATCCAGCTGATGCATGTCTGGTGTCTAAGAAAATGTATTTTTAAATAGCAGAGCTGATGCAGTGGCTTTCTTCTATAGTTACTTCAGGACACACTTAAGAGTTCTCAGGAAGTAGATAGGCTAAATGGAGAATCTTACCATATTAGAACCAGAGACACTCAAAACTAGTGTGAGCCACTTTGAAATGGATGAAAATAATCCCCACACAAAGGGTAGAGAACTTCTGTAACTTGTTGATGCACAAAGGTACAGAGGCAGACAATATCGGCAGTGTCAGAATGTCTTAGAAAAGTTCATAGATAGCAGGTCCTTAAGTATATGCTAGGAGGACTAAGCAGATAAGTGCTCTTTAAAATCCCTAGAACAACTATTCTGGGAAAAAATCCAGAGGAATGGTTTGCAGAAAGGGGGCATGTCATATATTTCTCTTAACCACAACCATCTTTCCACTTTGAGAGATGAATACTAGGCTGGGTGAACCACTGTTCTGATACAGTAGGGCATTTCTTTTGTATATGTTTTTATAATGTTTCATTATAATAATTCAGAATTTCTTCTGGAAGATTAAAAAAAAAAGGTGAAATAAATGTTGTGTAAATAATCAAAGACATTTGAAATACATCCCATCAGTTAAAAGTAATATTCGCCTCATTGCTGTGTTCCAAGTTGCACACCCATTCATTACTTACAATACCGTTTAATTTTTCAAATGGGCAGTCATATTGAAGAAAGGCATCAGATTAGGTAATTTAGAACATAATTCCCGTAGTCATCTATTGTTTGCAGATTGTTCTTTTTTTCTCCTTTTGTTCTGTGCTGTTCATTGTGACACCAATCATTTTCCTGACAGTGGCTTATGTATTTTTTTGTGTATGAAATAGAAACACTATGAATAAACAGTAGAAAGCATACGATTCCTGCAAAATTGACTGCAGAAGTAAAAGTGAGATTCTGTTCCCTCTGTAAGGAGTTTTGTCCTTAATTTCTTTGGAAAAGAAAGATTGAACTCTATTATTGAAATACAGCATGGACAAGCACTCCAGGCACTCCAGGCACAGTCATAGCCGAGTTAGTGTAATATATTTCTCATCCAGTTTGATAACTTTTTTAATACCTATTTTGTTTTTACATTTATCACTTATAAGTTTTGATTGTTGCTTTAATGAACTTATTTCTATAAACAGGTTGCTGGCAGGAATAGGAATATTTATCCAAACATGGCATTTCTCTTGACTAGCTTATCAAAAGCTTGTTTATCTTTATGACTTTTACCAAGACTTGACTTGCAACAGTAAGAGGTGGTCCACATTCAAACTTTAAGGAGTTTGTAAAAAACATCCATTCGAAACCTCCCTCTAGAAATCTGGGAAAACACACAAAAAAAAGAGGTGCATCCTCCTCGCTTGGAAAACAGTGTGCCAGATGCTTAATAAATAGGAATTTATTCTAGGGGGGGAAAGAGAAAGAAAGCTGACAAATAAAGGAGACAATATGCAATAACCAATTACTCCTTTCCTAAAGTATAGCCATAAGTATTTACAGGTATCTCTGATTTCCTGTGAGGAAACTGTTACGCTAGCTGACTGTTCTCTGCCTTCTGCAGTAGTGTTTCACTCATAGGCTGGGGTTATCAAATCACACAGCTCAATCAGTTATGCAGGTGACAAGACCTTATCCGTCTTGTAGCCTGTGCTGCTCTGCAGTTGCTGTTATTTCTGCCGCTAAGCAAGAGTAGAGCTAACAAAGACACATGTGGCTCCAGTCGCTTATAGGTGAAATCCTGGCTAATATGTCTTAACTTTTTTTCAGTCTGATGCCTCATAGCTTCAGACCAGGATGGCCTGATTTTACACCCTGATCATATAGCTTCCCCTCCCACAACTTATTTTTATTTACCAGTCACCATTTTTTAAATGAAATTTTTAGAAGCTTCATCACCTCAAATTTTGTTCAAAGAAACCTTAAGTTCAAAAGCTATTTGGAGGAGACCAACTGCCAAGTGAGCAGGTTGACAATGAAGTCTCGTTGCTTGGGAGGCCTCAAGAACTAATACAGGGAATAAAAAGGGCGTTAGTATTCCTTGTCTTGTCCTCAGTGTCATTGGCTGCAAACTGCTTTCTAGAAAAAAACACCTCAGTTGTAAGATGATATCCTTAAGGATATGCTACAAGACTGACCTGCTTGTCAGGCTTGAGAGGCTGGGGAAAAAGGTGAGGTTAAGAAGTTAAGGTTGGTATCAGAGGAAGTTCCAGGGGGTTTACTTTTTCAGAGCTTGAGGCATTATACTGTTTGTAATATTTAAGCTTTAATTGATGCTTACAAGTTGTAGTAGATTGGTTGTTAGGTATTTATGATTACATCTGTTGGAGGTCTTTAAAATATACCTTTAAAATCAAGGTATTGGCTGATGAGAAACTCAACATGAGCCAGCAGTGCGCACTCTCAGCCCAGAAAGCCAACCAGTATGCTGGGCTGTGTCAAAAGGAGCTTGGCCAGCCTGTTAAGAGAGGTGATTCTTCCCCACTCCTCCACTATCATGGGACCCCACTTGGAATACTGTGTCTAGCTCTGGGGCCCCCAACACAAGAGGTACATGGAGCTGTTAGAGCGAGTCCAGAGGAGGACCAC